AGAAATGACGGGATGAAATGAGGAAATTGAGGGGTTTTAAGTTGATAATTGAAGGGATTGAAGAAGATTAAAAAAGAGAAGAAGATGGAGGAGAAATGACGGGATGAAATGAGGAAAATTAAGGGTTTTTAAGTTGATAATTGAAGGAAAATTTTGTCTTTTTTTCAACTAAAATATTTTGCTTTATTTTTTTGTTTTTATTATTGGTCAAAGGCCATTTCACCAAAAACATTGTCTAACTAGGCTAAATGACCAAATTCCCCTAATTATAATTATATCAAATCATTCAAATTCTATTATTTGATACACCAAAGTGATATGAGTCGAGCGTAAGAATGTAAAACTTTTACAGAAAAAATTGCATTGTCGATCTTCAATCCATAGCTAGACTAGCAAAATAGTCCAAACTTTATAACAGTAGGCTTCTATAATTTAACATAAACGAATGTTCATAAATTTGAAATGAGATGCGTTTTACGAGAGTCACATAGGGGTTACAATAGGCCAATCGAGCTAGTTCGATCCTTAGACGCTCGAGATGGACTCATGTCCACAAATTAGACTCGATTCGATCCTTTGATTTGTGGAATGTTTCATAAAACGAGTTGAACTGTCCACAAGCCATCTCATTTTTTAAAAGACATTAATAAAATAAGTCAACAATGAGACAAAAATAAGTGTATCCGCGATTTGACTAATGAAAAAGGATGTCCGACTCGACCTTAGACTCGTCTCAAAACCAGTCTGAGTTGGGACGCACCAAGTCAACGAGCAACTTGGCTTATTTGCCCCTAAAGTCATATGATCATTAAGCCCTTGTTTAGTGGAGATTAAAATCAATTTTTTTAGTAGATTTTGATAAAAGTTGATAAAATGTATGGTTAAAAATTGTGGATTTCATTAAATGCATGATTAAAATTAATTGTTGACTTTAACTTCAATTAAAATCCGAATTTTAACTTTCATCAAACAGAGGCTAAATGAAGTGAGGTAAAATATTTTGAATTCATAATTAAAACACAAATCCAATTTAACTTCAAGATTCCATTCACAAATAATTAAGCCTAAATAAATGGTTGATTGAAGGGAGGGAGGGATGGAGTTAGATGGGCCAAGAAAGACTAGTATCCACATGGTTAAAAACAGAGCAATTTTAAAACTGGAAAAAAGTCAAACAAGTGGGCAGTTTAAAGTCAAAATCAAATTGACAAATTGTACAACAATTTCAAAACCTTACAAACCTTCACATTCATAGTGGGACATGATTCAAATCCACAAAGTTCAACGCAATTTCAAGAATCAAATCCAGAAAACAATGCGTTGACAATCTAGAATGCGGGCACATGTTAGATCAGTTCTTTTGGGAGAAAAGTAACATGCCTTGTTTGGCCTCCATTTTAGCCCCAGTTTTACATCCATTAATTTAATTTATTTTATTTTATTTTTTATACTCATTTTCAACCACACATTCTCGTACTAAAATATTATGCACATAAAGTCAAATTTTTTCCTACATTTTAACTACACATTCTCTGAAAAATACTATTCAAAACAATATTTTTTAAAATTTTAAGGATGTCAAGTATGGGCTAATGAGATTTTGACCAAAAAAGAAAAAGTGTTCTGAAATGATAATTAAAAAAGAAGAAAAAAATTTAAATCTACATATAATATTATTTTATTGAAAATGTATGATTGATAAAAATAAAGCCCAAATAAGGGCTTAGTAACCAATGCTTGCGTAAATTGCAAACGATCAAGTTCGTTCAACATGATTTCATTTATATGTTGAGTCTTTTAAGTAATATTTAGCCCCTATTGGGTGCCTTTAATTTTTTTTTAAAAAAAAATGTGTGGTTAAAAATGAGTATGAAAAATAAATTAAGTTAAAGGGAATCAAAATAATAAATAATTTATTTCGACTTTAAACAATTAAAATATTATTTTTAATGTTAACTTAATCCACTTATTAGTGAACTTTTTAAGCTGATAGCTACAAGCTTAACACATTGTACAAAACTTCTACCTTTAGCACATACAATGGAATATTTTACCAGTATGATGCAGATAATAATTTATAAATCATTGAAAAAGAACCTCATACAATTCAGCCTGAAATAGCAAAACTGATTTATGCTTGCCAAAAAAATAAAAAAAATACAAATCTCTGTCTATGAATCCAGATTTGCAGAAATTTGCAATGCATGGATTCTGGTCGCACAAATATTTACTGATGTCACGGAAAGACAAGGTTAAGAACGTTGAAGATGGACATTACAAGCCTGTCAAAAGAACATGTCATCAGGCATACTTGCAACTGAATTGATAAGAGAAAGAAAGAAAGGAATATTACTGAAGTTCTCATTTCCTTGTTCAAATTTGCATGGTTTTTGTCCTCATCCTTCAGTTTTTGTAAAACTTGGGTGGAAAAAGAGAGAATTCATCCAAAAAGTCAGTCAAAATGTCACAAATTGACGTGTGTAGGGGTACATTAGGTAATTGATAAGAAATACACCACCATTCAGGTTCCCCCTACCCCCACCCAGTTGCACCAGCCCCTATCTGGTTCCACATATTCCCGCAACCTCCGTCTGGTTCGCCCCCATGATCCCATCCCTGTGTTCCACACCTCAAACCAACCAGCTACGATCATTGTTGAGTTGTACTAATACATGTTACTTAATTTATCAAGGGAAACGCTTGGCATAATAACACAATTTTTGGACGAAATCTGTCTCTAGAAAAAAGCAGGAACATAACCGCTACCCAAATTTGAGGACAATAGGTTTCATTATCTAAAAATTAAACAAACTAGCGGTCAAAAAACAGTTAAGGGTCAATTTAAGCAACTACAAGAATATATGATAAATGCAGACATGACAGTTCAGTAATTATGAATTCTTCTTTTAACAGTAATATTACCTACACTAAACTTAAATTAGCATGAGACTAATATTTAACTATAACCAAGCTTGATACATTCAGTTTCACTTTTTTCAAGATAAAATTTTAAGATGACTACAATTGCACGAAATATTTTAAAATATGTAGCCCTTTCCAAAACTAGTAGATTAAATAATGTGCATGGCATTGGCTATAACAAATCTTCATGGTACTCTTAAAAATGCTTATTGCCAAGTAATCAATAAAGAAGAAGAAAATGTTACCATTTCATTCAATTTTCTGGTTTTGAGGCTGTGAGAAAAAATCTTTTGCATTGCGTGCTACATCAGCCTCCAGTACTGCCTCTAATAGTATGTCAGATCCCTTTAAGTCATCTGAAACAAAATTCACTATAAGTTCGTAGAGCACATAGGTGTGCATTAAGCCATCAGTATCCTTATTCCGTAAATGCAAAATCTA